ATGAAAATTGGCTTCCGACCATTCAGCTCGGAAAATGGGGCCAGGGCCATCGGAGCGATAGCGAACCCTTTGTGGTAAGATTAGCTAGCTGTATGCTTATCATATATCTCCAAAATTATACTAACCAAAGCAGAAAGTGGTGATTCCAACCAGAATCGCAATGTCTGAAACATGCCAGTATTCAGACATTTGCTTAACAGCTGGCGAATATGCACCGGCGGTGAAGGCTGTAAGCATGGTGGCTATACAAGAAAGGAAGACGGTAAATCGTTTGCGACTTTCTGGCCAGTCGAACGGTGAAGTGTACTTCTTCAATTGTGGCCGTGGTGGTGCTGTTGCCGAAGAACCGTCGGATGAAACGTTACTCGTCGGCGAAGGGATCAATGTTTCGAACGTTAGATAATGATAAATGATCGGACTTGACGAATGAAGCGCGCTCTGCGTTGCTGGATATACTGCAGGCTGAACAGCGAGCTCGCACCTTTTCTGGCCATCGTCCTCGAAATCGGTTGTTGAGTCAGATATTGAGGTTTGCCTGCTAGGATCACCACGGGACGACATATTCAATTCTGCTTCGCCCATTCTTCGTTGCTCCAGACTATAGAGACAAGTGAATGTCTCCAATGGATACTCAGATTGGAATTCGATGGCGATAAATATTAAGCATTAGATAGAAGATATAAACACGATGTAGTCTGAGAAAAGAAAACAATGACTCAATGGAAACAAAATAGCAATGACCGGCATTGAGTAGAGATATGTATGAAAGCAATACTCCCTGGTACCTATTCCCGTTGAAGCTATAACAAGCCTATGAAGGCTTTACCGCGGATCTCAATGAATTAAGCCATGAGGAGTTAGATGACCCGTCTCTAGTTCGAGAATTGGCTGCAGAGATGCGGATTTTACACCGAATTTTCAAATGTGAGTTGTTATTCCCGAACGGAAAGTATATTTTATGGTGGGTTGGTGGATTGGTCACGATGAAAGTGGTAGGTGTGGCGGACTGGTGGATCGGTCTCTTTCGGAGAAGTGGAGTATTAGAAAATCAAGATGGGGAACTTGGCTGTCAATTGCGGACAATATCACGTTTGAACCCTACTTCACGTGATAGATTGATATATGGGATGGCTGAAAATGGAGGGAAAAAGAGGAATATGAACACTATCATTGCGCCTCCACCCAATCAATTGGTAATAACAATCCAGTATCTCAAGATTCGATAAGATGTATTGTAAACCATTAACAGAATCCAATCTTCGTTGTCCTTTCCTGATGGATATTCTCCGGTGATCGATGGTCATGCGAACCATAGGTAGATAGCTGAATGTTACCTCAGCTCTTTCGTGAAGAAGTGGTGAACGACTAGGTAAATTTCTTCTGGATGACAGACAGTGATTGTCTCGAATACGATCAGACAATATGGGCAAGTTGCCACAAGAAAAAGGAAAGCAATTATTATTATCGGCATTTGAGAACGACAAGGAGATTCTATGATTGCCGACACTTTCCAACTGTCGTGTAGAGACTGCTTGCCGCCAATATTCTTATATACATAGAACTACCTACATAGTACTCCACAATATGGAATTATACTTTCGGGGACCTAGGTGGGTAGGTGTGTGTGGTAGGTGTGGTTGGCATAAACACCCTTCAGGTAAATCAATACTTCACTTAAAGTTTGACGTCGACTTCACCGCATCGTTCGATTCTTTTAGTGGATTATGTCAGTAATGCCTCCAACCAGAGGTACAAAGTTGTGTTCACACCACGCATGGAGCACAATGAAGGGAGGAGGGGTCTCAGTCTCCAGTTCTCAGCCTTACAAGCATTCCACCCTCACACTTATTATAATCGGTGAAAAGAGAAAAACAAAGACTTGATGCTTCTTTCGGCCTGAGTGCTGTTGTCCTTATGCTATTGGGTCGTCTCCATCTTTTGCGTCTGTCCCGTCCCGTCAGATCCCGCTTCCTTGGGACCATTTTTCTCTGTGCGAACAATGATGGTATTATTGATTCTCAAAAAGGGCGAAGTGTAATTTTGACATTGTTACAAAGCCAAACCCTTCTCGTTCCTTAGAGTTCTGATACAGAAATGATAAGCCTATCAGATAATCCGGATGTACCCCTCTCTAAACCACATCCGGCTTGAAGGCTTGTCAAGCTCAGACAAGGTCGATGGCGTGATAGCTACGTGCTACAATTTTCTCTTCTACCCCTCCTAATTCTTACGATGGCGACACTTTGATCAATGATTAAGTAATACTAAGGCATCATTCAATTGAACGGACTAAGTGAATAGGTTCCTTCTTGATAAACCCCCCAACTCCTCCCTCCTCTTCCTTCATTCTCTCCATCTCTACTAATACTTTGATATCAACTACATTGTACAAATAACCCCAATACTACCTCATCAACCCCTCAACAAACATTCAAAATGGCTGAAGAGAGACCAACCCCGTAAGTTTACCTCTCGATTCCCCGCGATGGATATATCCTTCAAACTGAACTTCAATCTCTTGATACAAATGTTACGATTGTCTCTATTTGGCGACAAGTCGCATGCCAAAATCAAGAAGTATTAAAGGCCTTCTCGTGCGCAATGTGCAACTTCACTATTATGCATCTTTGGACTCTACTAACATTGCACAAAGCCTCCGTCTAGGATCCATCGCCCCAAACTTCAAGGCGGAGACGACTACTGGCCCAATCGATTTCCATGAGTTTATTGGTGACAAGTGGGTTGTCTTGTTCTCCCATCCTGAGGACTACACACCCGTTTGCACCACTGAACTCGGCGCTTTCGCAAAACTCGAGCCTGAATTCACCAAGCGCGGCGTGAAGCTCATTGGTCTTTCTGCAAACACAATTGAATCACACGGTGGATGGATCAAGGACATTGATGAGATCTCCGGAAGCAAGCTTACCTTCCCAATCATTGGTGACAAGGAGCGAAAGGTCGCCTATGCATATGACATGTAAGCACGATCAACCATTTCTCTACGACTTTGAAATATGTGCTGATAAAAAAACTAGGCTCGACCACCAAGATATCACCAACGTTGACTCTAAGGGTATTGCATTTACCATCCGATCTGTTTTCATCATCGACCCAAAGAAGACAATCCGCCTCATTCTCTCTTACCCAGCTTCCACTGGTCGTAACACTGCCGAGGTTCTCCGTGTTGTTGACTCTCTTCAAACTGGTGATAAGCACCGCATCACCACTCCTATCAACTGGGTTCCAGGTGATGACGTAATTGTCCACCCTGGTGTCAAGAATGAGGAGGCCAAAACCCTCTTCCCAGAATTCCGCACCGTCAAGCCATATCTTCGATTCACTCCTTTGCCAAAGGAGAAGACATCTGCGGCAGAGTAAATGTCGCGTGAAGCGAAATTATGAATTGATGAAGGGGCTTTCTCGATCAAATGACAGGTATGGAAAATAATGATTAAATCGGCGACTAGCTCAATAAAGTCTCCCTTTTGGATGACTTTTTGAGGATACTCTAAATTAGAACAAGCAAATAAAAAGAAAGAAAAAAAAAATATCAAAAGCCTGATTACTATCTCACATCACAGTCCGAGTGATTTGCATACATGAATTACAATTTGTTTTTACGAATCATCGTCCGTATTGATTCACATCCCATTACCTAGGTAGATATTTTGTCTAATTTTCTTCCGAAATATTTTCGATGTGCTGTAAACAGGTACATACAGAGATGATCCAACGTGCGCTTCTATGTATCAGTCTTATATTGTCATCAGGAGGCAAGTTCGAGGTAAGATACTACCTATAAGCATGATAAGTGACTCTCAACGGTCTACTCACGGAGTACGTACCTAGATAGGTCTCCCGCATCGGGTGGCCTACCAAGCCTGCCTACCTATCTCGTACCGATATCTTCCTGGTAAATAATAATCAATCTGAAGCAGATGGGGCTAACATTTCTCCTCTTTAAACTTTCTTCAAGACTTCAATCTGCTAAATACCCAATTGCATATACAGATTTGTATGGACTTTATATTATTTCTAGAAACATTCAGACCCTCCTATGTGCGATTAATTTCCTCTGCATGAAACAAGCAACACGTGGGAATCTGCACCACTATCACTATCGGATGAACCTTATATTCCTACCCCCAAGGAGTACTTCTGAGCAATCATATTCACGCTCTGACAGGTCCGAGCAACTACAAGGCTGTTCTACAGTTTCGAAGATTGATAAACCAACAAAGGAACAACAAACCGTGCATGTACATTCCAATCAATAATATCAAGATTCACAAAGAAAAAATCTAAAGGGGAAAAGCAACTGGGATTTATATTGTCAAAATTCGAACACTTCGAGATCGGCATACTAAGAGTTAGGAAGTGGGCTGGAACCGCAGAAATTCCTTTTTCCTCGCTTCGAGAGGTATCAATTTTCCAAATAAGGCGGAGATTAGGAAAATTGGCTTTTTAGCTGGGACAAGGCGCGTTTGTGTAGAGAGTTCTGGTACCGATAAGTGCGAGGTGTGTGAGACTATTGAGTTCGGCTTGCTATCCGATCTGACACAATAGGCCCCTAGAACCCCCTAAGATTTCGGCGGAAATACTACATCGAGAAGAAAAAGGGTCAATCATTCGATTACTGCCGGCTTCCAGGCAAGCCGTCGCTACAGGTTACCTGCATCGTACACTCTACAAACTGTTCTGCGGAAGAACGATCGATTGTCCCCGTTATTCTTCTTGTGTAATCTGTGCGGCGAGTGGATCTCCTATCCTCTCCTGAGTCCTTACACCCCAAACGAGAAATAGTTTCTGACCCTTGGATTACATTTCGGGAGATCTTGACAAGGCCGAGTATAATTTTGGGGAAAGCCCTTGTTGTTTTTTTGAGCACTCTTAAGGTAAGCTTCAATATCCACACGCACGTCAAAATGACATCTGTTGTTGGTGATATCTCTTTGTGACTGTTGATGAATTGCTTTTTGTCTTTCGCAGCATGATTCAACATGTCGGATCCGCTAACCCTTCGACCAAAAGACTCAATAGAGTCATTATACGTCTCCGAATCTTCGACTGACGACGAGGGCTTAGACTTCAGGGGGGAGTCAGAGAAGACTGACGGCGCTTTTCTTACGGGTGTGCGAAGGGGACTCAAGAAGCTAGGATCTGTTTCCGGTAGCCGTGGTCGACCTTTCAATATTCAAACAAGCAAAAGTTCTACGCCAGACCTCTATCCACGCTCAGCAAGTACCGACCAATTCTTGCTGTCGCAGAATGAAAAGAAGTTGAGCGGTGCGAATCTCGAAAAGCCTCTCCCAACCTTGCCCACGACACCTACATCCCCTATCATCGAAGATACTACAGGAGATCCCCCTGACACACCAAAAGCTTTAGAGGGTATGTCACGACCAGCTGCGACCGGTAGTCGAGCCAGCACGTTGGATTCTTCGAGCGCTTTCCAACCCCAATCCGGTGGATTCAAGTCGGTCTCGGGTACATACACGACGGATATGAACAATAGTCAAACTAGTCTTGCTACTCCAGGCAGGCAAGATGGAGGTGAAGGGGCAGAGGAGAATCGAGAAAACGTTATGACACCAAAGAGCAACGGGCCTCCGTCGGCAGCACCATCTCCAGCACAACAACCTCGCCCTTCGGTCGCAAGCGTAGCTGGTACTTCTGGAGCAACGCCATCGACGCATTTGTCAGGACTTATGTGCAACGTACATCGAACTACTGGAAAGGAACCTCACCCATTGGTTGGGGCTACAACTACAATTTTGGGCGATAAACTTTACGTATTTGGCGGTCGAATTTTATCACGAACACGCCCTTCCCTAACAGCCGACTTATATGAACTTGATTTAATACAGCGACATTGGACAAAGGTTGAGACTACTGGAGATGTACCACCGCCAAGATACTTTCACAGCGTATGCGCGCTTGGCGATACCAAACTGGTGTGCTATGGGGGAATGTCCCCAGCTCCACCACAGAACCAGGCTCAGATGGCTGCCTCGGCGCAAAGTGGGCAGGATTCCCAGCCGGAGGTAGTCGTAATGTCTGACATTTATATATACGATGCGCCATCAAGAACATGGAGTTTTATACCGACGAACGATACACCACAGGGGAGATATGCTCACTGCGCTACTGTTCTTCCTTCGTCAGCAGCATTTGCATCTGTGAATGCCCCTTCTTCTGCCTTACATCACAATCCTCAAGGGCCAAATCCTAATCAAGGTATTATTGGGGTGAATATAGATGGTACTGGCGGTGCCGAAATGGTTGTTGTGGGTGGTCAAGACAGTGCAAATCATTATATCGAGCAAATTAGCGTCTTTAATCTACGAAGTCTCAAGTGGACTAGTACTCAACAGCTTGGAAAAAGTTGTGGGGCGTATCGTAGTGTCGTGGCGCCTCTTCCAGGTCATGTCTCTGCCAAAATAGGCAAGGCTACACCTAATAAACTAGATCATGGTGGCACTACTCCAGATTCAAGAGAACCTGGGTCATCAATGCTGATATATTCCAATTACAACTTTTTGGATGTTAAACTAGAGCTACAAGTTAGAGCATCTGATGGAACCTTGGCAGAAAAGCCTATGCACGGGTCATTTTCTCCTCCCGGGCTTCGATTTCCAAATGGTGGCGTTATAGACACCAATTTTGTTGTCAGCGGGACTTATCTCACTTCTTCAAAACAGGAGTATGCATTATGGGCTCTTGACTTACGGACTCTTACGTGGAGTCGCATTGATGCTGGCGGCAGTGTTTTTAGTCAAGGAAGCTGGAATCGTGGTGTTCTGTGGAATCGAAGGAATACATTTGTTATACTTGGCAATCGAAAACGAAGTCTTGTGGAAGATTATAATCACAGACGCATAAACTTTTCGAACGTCTGCATGGTTGAGCTCGAGGCTTTTGGTTTGTATGACAATCCTCGGAAGGCAGCACCAATGTCGGGTTTTGTTTCGGCCAGTTCACCTTTCGCAACCCCTTCATTAAATATCAATAGCAAAGCGGGATGGAATGCGGGCGGGCGCACACTTTCCAAAGCGGCAGAGGAACTAGGCCAAAGTGCCTTGGCTCTTAGAGAGTTGGCCGACATGGACATTCTTTGTGTTGGTGGCGAACGTATACCAGTCAACTCTCGCATTATTGCAAGAAGATGGGGGCCATATTTCGTTCAACTACTTCGCGAGGGCACAGCAACGCAAGACGGTAACGACACCGCCACCCTACGTCCAGAAGGCGTCTTTCGACATAATCAAAGCAGGAATAGCAGTGTTACTATCACACCTAGTCTCGGTGCACAATCATCAAATCTCTCCACTACATCAACATTGAATAGCTCTTCCATATCGGATCCCGCCTCTTTGGCTCTTCCTCCCGACTCGACTGCTTTGCCACCTAATTCTAGACCGCGGACACTTTACCTGCCTCATACACAACTCACACTTCAAGCTCTACTTCATTTCCTGTATACATCGTCTCTTCCACCAAACAATTCTACACTCTGCACTCCACAGATACTCTGTAGTCTATTGCAATTAGCACGTCCATACAAGATCGATGGGCTACTGGAAGCTGTTGTGGAGAGGTTGCATGGTGTTTTGGACAGTAGGAACGCTGCAGCAGTTTTCAATGCTAGTGCAATGGCTGCTGGGGGTGGTCGCTCTACTTCAACACCATCAGATATAGCAGATCCCTGGAGTCTCAACAGACTGTCAAATGGAGCCGAGACCTTAATGCAGCTTGGATTGGATAACGAATTAGGATATCAAGGGCAGCAATCTTTGCGAATCAATACCAGTGTAGGTAATCTTGGAACTGGCCAAGGAGGCAGAAGACAGGACGACGAGGAAAGTATGAGTGCGACAAGTAGTGCCGCAAGTGATATCAGCGGAAGCGACCTGAGTGGAAGCATGAGTGCATCAGAATCTGGCAGGATTGAAAGCGCAGGGGAAATTTGGAGGGGCGATATTAGTGCAGTTATTGGACTACAGAAGAGAGGTCTCCGGGGTTTGATGGAAGGCAGAAGACTTCGCGAGAGAGGCACAAGTGCGAGCGTGAGCGGACCTTCGTCCCAAAGAGTAGGACTGGGGATCGGAAACAATTAATATGCAAATAGCTATCACGCTTTATGAAGATTTATGACAATATTTAATGATTGCTCTATTATTTGGCGTTATCTTATATCTCGAAGTTGTTTCGGACCTCTCATTAGGTCTATTGGTCTATTATAACCAATGACTCTTAAAGGAAAAGCTCACTTTGTTCCCTAAAATACTTTGTACATTTTTCTAGTGTTTTGGGTGAATTTCAAAATTCACATGTTACATGCACCGTGGCTTAGGCCACTACGTCACCGCTTTCAAACCCCACAATCACCGGCAAAATATTTTACTTGTCGTTGATTGCGCCCTAATAATGAGACTCCCAAGTTTCTAGATTTCAACATTGGAGACAATACTAATATATGTAGGAAACCCCTTACAAGTGATAATCACGAGAAAAATTTCCCTTTCCTTTAACGTATAGCGCAATTAAACTGCGCAGACATCCTCGAGACAATATGGCGGAAAATTACATTCTACAAGTTACAGCCGGTTCAAAATACGATGTCAGTACACATCAGATTGTACCGGTCAATCAAGCAAAGACAGTTAGGATTGAGAACGAACTTTGCGAGGTAGATTTGAATGTCAGGATCCAAGTAAGTGAATTCTTTACCCTCTGCTATGCGCTCCAAAATCATCAATAGAACTCTTGAAATTTAACTAACCCCGCCTTGTTAGGATTATCGCGGACTACCCAAATCGTCGCCCACTACCTCACCATACTTTGCTCTGCCACCGCATGATAAGAATAAAGATCAATATAGTATCGGGTTTCGATTCAAACCAAAGAAGGATATCAATGCGGATGATTTGGTTTTTGGAAACGATTTTGACCATCCAATTAGAGATCGTCTGCCCCCGGGGTTCAACACAGCTTTCAGGATCGTGAAGTGGATGGTAGATCCAGGGTTGGACGGAGATGTTTATGCAGACGAACCATATTTGTATGGACCAGCGGCCAGTTCATTCAATGTGCTGTACGTTGGGGAGGGAGGAGAGGGAGATGGTGAGGAGGAAGAGAATGCGGGGTTGGTGTTTGAGGAGGGCGGGGATGAGGAGGGTGAGGAACACCGGGAGGAGTGTGGAATTCCGGATGGGGAGGCGGCGAGGAAGAAATACTTCTTGACGGAGGCAAATAGGAAAGAATGGGATTGGGAAGAGGGAAGAACTTATGGGTGTGATTTTTTTAATGCATATCTAGATTTTAACAGTAAGTTGAGAGTTGACATATCCATCGTATCCCCACACAAAGAATCGGCACTGACTTTATCTCGTCATGGGGTAGATTTCTCTCTCAAATTACCAGGATTTACAATGCCGATAATGAAATATTGGGATGGGCAAGGTCTTCGGTTCGTTATTCTTTCATTCCTCCTTCGTTCTCATTAACAAAATAACCCCCTCCTTAATGATATCTATTGCGCCAAATTCTTCGATCTGTCATGCCAACCATGTTTTTCTTTTGATATTAGGAAAGAGCAAAAGCGCTCACATACGCTCAGATATGTATTGAAAAATCGCAAGACTGGAGAAGTCTTATTCGTGGTTGTTTTTACGCTTTATCTGAAAGAAGACGTGGATGAGAATGGGAACTTGAAGGCGGGTGTTGAAGGAGGGAAACCTTTTGATCAGCTACCTAAGGATGTTGCCGAGAAACATTTAAGAGAGAAGAATGGGGAAGCGGAAAGTGAGAAGGAGGTAGAGAAGGTGGAGCAATCTACTAACGACGGCGATGATAGTGATATTGATTAAGGCAATGATTCTGGGGAAATGTGCATACAAGAAAAAGGAGTAAGATATATCAGGTAAAACAAGACATAATGTAAGATAGATAGATAGATAGGCACTCGGTATTTTTAACAGTGAAAGAGCTGAAATTATACATTCCGATTCTATATTCCGATTATATATTCCGATTAACTTGTATATTCCGGGTTCATACAAATACCACTTCACTCACAACAACCCCGCACACGACGAGATTACCAGTAATATTAGATAGGAGGTACCTGTACGTAGACTTCAGTGATTAAGCAGTGAAGTGTTTCATCTTTCGATAGCAGGTTCGGACACCAATTAATCTCCTTGGCAATAATCATTATTGAAAATCACATCGATGGAGAATATTATATGGATGTTTTATGTTTCGTTTCAAGTATTAATAGCATGTTAATTAATTTGATACTGATTAGCCAGGTAGGGAGGGAGGGAGGTATTGTGTCTGTAGTGTGTGTATGTATTGTGTATGTATTGTGTATGCCTTTTTATGAGAATGAGTGAGATTACCCGGCATACGACCAATGACACGGTATGATTATGTTTAATATTATCCAGCTTCCTCGGTACCATTTCCTGCTTGCTGTTTGATGATCAGTCAAAAATTATAGATGGGAGATCGTAATGTTCGGCTGACTTCAATCTGCTTTAGTGTTACTTATTGCTACTGACCTAGTAGGCATTGGTACGGAACTATAGTGTCACTCTTTTAATCTTCTTTCCACCACCCACCACACACCACTTATTACCATTACCATTACCACGCACCAAACACCATACACCATACACCATACCTACACCATACACAATTTCCCATTCCCATTCCCATTCCCATTCCCGTTTCCCTTTTCCCTTTCTCAATTTTCCATTTTCCATATCCAACAATCCACAAATAACATATAGCCCAATTAAATATTATCAGCCATTCAAGATTTATATCTCCTTTCCCTTTCCCTTTCCTTTTTCCTTTCCTTTCTTTTTCTCTCTTACTCTCTGATCTCCCTCCCAAACATATGCATTGTGAAGCAACCTTATCAGCCCCGAAGGATTTGTCGCACGCAACCAGCGCAAAACTTCCAACGAGATACAAGAAACAACACTGCCTACCTACTCGTACAGCGATCGTTCCAATCGTCATATAAGATCCCGTACCACCACATATTAAAGTATACTCACGAATTTTACAGCTGTTCCAAATACTATCACATTAAATCATCTGGTCTGCCTCGCTTTCCTACAAGTTACTCTCGCCTTGATCACACAACGATACGTCTTTAATTCAACCTCCATCCACCATTTCGACTTCACCTTTATTTTGTTCATGATTAATCCTGGATATCGCGCGTAGAAGAGTGGACGCGGTAGCAAGAAATATACTAATATGTATTCCAATCATCCACTACGAGAGAGTGAGCTCAGCCAGCATTTGTTTCCCATCATGACGACTGCTTCAACCCCAGCCACTCCGGGTCCGTCTACGCCAACAGTCACGCGAGCACCTCTGATCGAGCATACCAAAGTCGATGACATTCTAAACATCGAAAGGCCGGCATCGACACCATTTCCGCGACAGGAGTCTTTAGATGGAGAGATTCTAGAGCGACAAATCGAGCTGGAACTTCTTGAATGGAGAGAACCTTCACCGATTCAACAACATGCTCCAGATTCGGGTTCGCCCTTGTGCGACCTTCCTGTTGAAATTCACGAATGCATTCTCGATCACTTGTTCGGTTTCAGGGCTGCGGCTTCTGCAAGAATTATACCGGGGAAATCCAAGGTGCTTCGGGGCTGGGGCACAGCATTAAGACACTCGAGACGTCGTGAAGTCTCAGAGTTGGCTCTTGTCTCTACTCAATGGAGAAGTCTTATCCAAGAACGATTATATAGACATCTCAAGATCAAGGGGACCATGGATTCCGTTCAGCAGTCATTAGATTGGTTTTATGCTCATTCACATTTGTGTCGTTATGTAAAGCACATCGAAATATGGTTTCCGGTGTTTCAACAGAAGAAGTTGCCCTTCGATCGAGTTATGCGGATACCCACAACTAATCCAGACCGTTCTACCCTAATTCGCTCACTTGCACATCTCGGCGCAGAGCCTACGAATCCTGTCACATACCAAACCCCAGATAACAACTCTACCCTATCAGAAATCTTCCAGTTCGTTCGAAATACCTTCCCTGAAGTTGTTATCCTGACTCTGGAAGGTGGAGAAAGAAAGAAACCCCCTCAAGTTCAGCAATTCCGTCCGAATGAAACAAAGTTGCCGAAGATCCGTACTATCCGAACTCTTGTCTGCAAGGGACAATGGAATATTATACGCACGAATGAAGATTTCCAGAATATTGCGACAGCATTACCGAACCTCAATGAATGGCACGGATCCTATGCCAAACCAAAGTCGAAGTCATATCTTTGCATCGCGCAGATTGCTCCCCGGATACCCCAGAATATTACACATCTTAACCTATGTCTTGAAAACGACTATCGCAGAGAAACTGTATCACCTGCTTTCTTCAGGAAGGTCACCCAGAAGACGCATTTCTGCGATGAATTAGCCAAATCGATTCCAACTCTCGAGCACTTGGCATATACTGGTAGGATTTGTCGTGGATTCTTCGACACAGCGGCCAAAATTTCAAATCAACGTACCTCGAAATTGAAGAGTATAGACTTTATTGTCAAGAATTGCTGCCGCCCTAATCAGCAATGGAACGACGGATCTGGCATAAGTGATATGTCATTTATCTCGGCCTTCGAAGCATTGGTATTGTCAAGTGTACGATCATTGAATAAGCTAGCGGCCCTTGAGTACCTGAGAATCAGATTCATAGACCTTGGTAAGTTTGAGCAACTTTCTTATTGCCTGGATAATATTAACAGTGCTGCAGAGTCACAAATTCCACCGCTCAACCCATATTTTGAGCTCAAAAATAACCAATGCACGGGAATATGGAGCCCCGCAATCGTCGATGCATTGGCAAGCAGTCGACCAAGTGCATCATTCGCAGAGAAAGCAGAAACTCTTGGTGAACTGGCTATCAACAAGGATGGACAATACATTACGCCTACTACATTCTCAAAATTTCGACCACTCTCTATAAAAGTTTCAAATTATCTTGCACTTTCGGGTGGTATCACAATTACATAAATGGATGATATCGCATCATATCACAAATTTTCATTGCACATATGGTGGGCAATCTTAGCTAAAGAAGGGTTTCGTCTCACGGTTAGCATATTCTTTTGTCGGAGTATAAGGGAAGGGTATTGTAAAACACTTATTGAGCAGAGGACTTGGTTGAGGATATGGCTTTGGCGATGGGCTGGGAATGGAACTGGAGCTGGGACTTTTTTCATCTGGCATTAGCAGGCGTTCTCGACTCTAGTTCTGGAAGCAAAGGGTATTTTATGTGCAGTCGGTGGTTTCAGTTCACATATTCAAATTACAGCAAGAGAGAGGTTCCTATCTAAATCCATAGAGAACTCTCAGCAGATCATATGTAAAATCATGAGAATCATTGCTAATAGATTTCTAATATGGATGTGTGAGAATGTATGTACAGGCCGATGTGTGGAATATGTCTACTCTCTACATACATCATCTGACGCACATGTTAATACGTATCATCCTAGTGAACAGTCTTCCTCTCATTCCCCAACCTCCCTTATAACCTTCTCGAGACTCAAACCTCAAATCCCTTTTCCAGAAACAGCAGCCGCTCCCCGACCAACATCTTTCACCATGACACCTAAAATCCAGACATTCGTAGCGAAAAATAAGAGGCTTGCCACAAATAGGCCGGGCACAAAAGTGCTCAAACCCAAAAATTCAAGCTCGAATGCTTGATGTAACCAAAATGCTTGTGTGGCAACCCACAAAAATAGAGCAAATATCCCCTTGCGTGGTGATTTGATGAGGCTACAAGAGGGAGTAGAAAGGTAGAGAGGGAGTAAGCAGGTGTACCAGAGGAAATACTGGGATGTGACTACTTTGTTGAAGGTCACGAAGGTGAGGGTTTGCGCTAGCATAGTGGTGGGCAAGTCGTGTTTGGAGAGGGCGAGGGGGAGGAGGACAGTGGAGAGGAGAAGTTGAGGGATGAAGGTGAGAGATTCCAAGGGGAGGCGGGAGGGGGAGGGGAAGGCGGAGCGCAGATAGAGGAGGGTGTTGTAGGGTGAGAAATTGTGTCGGTGGTCGATACGGGTTAGATGGTGGAGATAGGTGTGTTGGAGGAAGGGATATCCATAGCTGAGAGTGTTTGTTAGCGAGAGTTTTGGTGGTTGGAATAGTGTGGGAAGAGCGGCTTACATGTAATACATCAGGATATTAAGTCCCATAAATGTCACCAGACTAGTCGTCACTAATATAATCCTCTCCCGATTCATGAACCCCATAACCTCACCCCAAATATCATCCTTTCCCCTCTCCCTCTCCACTTTTCCCCTTTTCGTTCCCTTCCCACCGACATTCCTGCTTCCAGAAGCAGAAATCGTCTCCCGATCTAAAAACCAAACAATGCTAATCCCATACACCACCGGGTAAATCTTAAAATGCACTCCTAATCCTAATAACATCCCGGCCAATGCAATCTTCCTTTTCAACACCGCCCACAATAACCCTATGACTAGCACTCCTAAAATCCCCTCGCTACTCCCGCGCGTACTAATCGTCGCGACCATCGGATTCAGCAACCAAATCGCCGCGTATTTCCCCGCGCGTCCAACATCCATTCCCCGACTAACGAGTATCACATGGAGTAAATATCCCGCCAGTATATCACACACGGCGAATAAGATCTTGCCAAAGTGGAACCAGAGATACTGGGGAGATGATGTGGTGGGGAGTAAGAGCCAGGCAAGGAGAGGTGTGTATCGGTAGGTTTCCCGTGTGTAGGGAGAGAGTGAGCGAGAGGTATACAGAGATGCGGAGGTGAAGACTTGGTAGTCTATATCTGTGTATTTTAGGGGGGAGTGCGCGTCTTGGTAGAGACCGTAGAAGAAGAGGATTATGCGGAGGAGGATGGAGAGGGTGAAGAGGGTGCGGGTTGAGAGGGCCATGGTTTTAGTGGGGTAGATTGAATTGATGATTCAAGCGGAGCATCTATAGCTCGAGGGATAAGAGCTTCAATTCTCGCTCTTTGTGAAATTGAGAAGAGTTGGAACTGAGAAATCAGGACGGGAGAGATGATGTGTGGGGAAGTTTGCAGAGATTGGTGGGAGACTTCCAAATCTGAGGCGAGATTTGAGAGGATATGATAGTGAGCAATTCTATGTAATGATTGAAATCATGACAATTGTCAAACTGCCTCGACTGTGGTCACTTCCACTTAACTTTGGCAAAATAATCTCGAGCTCCTTTTTGATATTGAAGTCTGCACGTGTTTATATGATAAACTCACCCCACTATGTAAACTACTCGCACATCCATCTTCTCACCCCAAATATCCCTGTTTGCTTACCTCACCATCCAACTCCACCCACCACCGCACGCCTCACAAATCTGCACCAGTGCAGGCCTACTTGATGTACAATGCAGGAATCTAAAGCGCAAAGTGAAGATATGCCAGGTATTAAACGTCAACATGATGGTACTTCCAAGGAGAAGTCGGAGAGAAAGTTTGAGGGATCGGAAGAAAAGGCGGGAGCGTCGATAAGTCCTTTCATGCCGATGTTCGAGGGGTTCAGAGCGGAATTGGACGAACATCATGATCGGAGAGAGAGGATTATCAAGGCGGGTAGAGATATCACGGCGGGGAGTAAGAAGATGTAGGGAATTTTTCTTGGAGCGCTACGTGTGAGGGTTTTCGGATTGGGCTAATTTTTTTTCTAGAATTTTTGCGTTGCAAAGGTATGCACAATTTTCAAAAGCGCCTACCTAGTACCTACCTATATGAGATCATAAATCATCGTGTTAACATGCATTTTCAGAGTTCAAAAACTCCATCAGCCTCTTCCTCAAAGAATTGCCAAGGAAACTTCGGAGAGATTAGCTACGATTAATGATCTCTTTGCCGGTATATCACCTGATCTCACGGGCATTAATTCTTGGCGCTACCAACGACAGATTTCAGGGGGTATTCAAGAATACATGGAAGCTGTGTCCTTTTCCCACTACCTGACTGAACAAAAATTAGTCCCTCTTGATGCTGCTCAAGCTTCTTTGCCCGAAGCTGTGAACCTCACAGGCGATGACTATGTTCTTGGAATCTTTGATCTGGTAGGCGAGATGATGAGATTTGCCATCACGAGAATGGCGACGGATGGAGAATTGCCGGGGAAAGAGGAGAGAACGATCCTGGCGGACTTGAGAGATATCAGAATGAGATTCGAAGAGCTGGATACGACTAGGTGTGGAAATGTGGGATTGGGAAGGGATGTAGAGAAGAAGATGGAGGTTATGAGGACTTGTGTAGAGAAGGTGGAAACGGCGGTTTATGGTATGATTGTGAGAGGAAGAGAGAGGCCTAAGGGATGGGTTATGGATATGCCGGATGATAGTAAAGGTGCGGTAGAGAGTTATTAAAGGTGTGTTTGTGGTTAAAAAGTCATGTGAGGGCGGTAGCTATAGTGGGAGAAATTTGTGCTAGGTCGCTTCTGTGATGAAGTTCCAATGGATAAGTATTTTGCTTGAAGAGTATTGCAGCAATCAAGACCTAAGACAATATCTATACTTCAGAGCTTTCAATGAATAGAATTATTCCAAAACCATCTGAGTTTTTAACAATATAGAAACCTCTAGCCAGCAAAGCGAGGAGATGATTTCCCTTTCACACCCCTGACTATGAAATCTAGCCTATCCAGTCCTCGCTAACCCTCACTCGTTGGTTTCGTTGGAAGATTTCGGCTGCCAAACAAGCGGTCGAGGTGGCTATTGTGGATTCGCTCTTTTTACTTCTCTATACCGGAATTCCGGTATAGATAGGGCATCGTGGTAAAAGGGCTCAGAACAGGACAGCAATTGGAGAACTATCGTCTTATAAATGCTATTGGTGAATTGAAATGCGATTTACTTCGATTTTGGAATAGAGGTATCGTTGATAATATGGTGAATTACTAGTAAACTCGGGATATCCTTAGATAGAGGTTTTTGAATAAGGATATCCTTATGGAGAGGTTTTTTAGTGCCGTGCATGTAGCAGGGAGAATGTCCACAAACGGCTTAGCAAGAAAAATATTCTGATACCGCATCTTAACAACGCGTACTTATCTACACAACAACAAGCAGAGCACTTGAGTCGGCCACCAATTCATTCTATTGACACATCCTGAGAGGTTACAATACCAACGCTGGTTATCATATGTTTGGATATAGATGATCTTGCTGCCACAATGCATAATATTTCAATCGTTCCTACACTGGACACTCATATCTTTTATCCGATTGGAAACACACCAGCCGTCAATCTTCTCGAATACCATGCTGCTAAATCTGATGGAGAGGGTACGGATATACTTCTTCTTGCCTGTGGAGATCCCAGAAGTATTTTATATTCGTTGTTCTGCGAAGACAAACCAGGTAAGATCGGTCGTGATGTACCCCGCATTCATTTGCAATTATCAAAACGCTTCTAACCATTTGTAATCATTTTACACAGGCAATGAGAAGTTTAGTTTTGTGTGTTGTGATATCGACCCAGCTATTTTAGGTAATTTATGCTCCTATCGCAGTTTAGTGGGTTTGGTTAGTATTGATCTTTAACTAGCTCGCAATATTATTTTGTTCTCCCTCATCATCGATAATGCTGCATCATACGGCTCTCAATCCCCACACGATAGAACGAGGATTGGTGCAATTTGGAATCTGTTTTACCACTATCAAATTCCCCAAGAGGATTTGAAGCTCTTACAGGACCAATCTGAGAAACTTTTGTCCTACTCCAAATCGCCAGAGACATGGGCAGAATCTCCTTATTCCAGCACTACTTTTGCTAGCTTGCAAACTCTTGAGGGCGTTCGAAAGATCTGGGAGAAATATGCTATCCAGAGGAGTGCAGAAGAGCAGCAAAAATATGAAGCACCTAGACGGCACACCCTCTCAGAGATACGCCAAAAGTTCTCTCACGGAGGAGGAGCATGTGTGACTTACTCTGCAGGGGTACACTGGTTTGCAGGCTTAAATCCAGGTTGGGATGCACTTAAGGGCTATTGGGAAAAGGGGGTGGTTGCTGGGAACGAAGGTGATGTCAAGGCTCTTGGCTTTGGTGGAAAGGGAGTTTTGAATCCAACTTTTATGGTATCCGCCATATCAGAGGATTTCATCGTTCCATTCACCAGCGATCCTTTGTCGGCGTATCACGTTCCACAGGTATTCGACAATCCCCTAAGTGAAAAGCAACGTATGGAAGCCCTGGCAACATCCGCAAAACAAGACTTTGCGGGATGGTGCAAAGCCTTTGCACAATACGCGGCTGCGGGTTCCGTTTTGATCAATGCCTATATGGGAGATGCAGTTACCTTTTCTTATGAGCTGGCATCTCGTGGCAGGTCAAGAAACACATCTGTTATTACCCGTCTTTATGCAGATTCATGGTCTGCAAAACCAATGTTGTTGGATGGTCCCGGTGCATCACTTTTACCCCCATCTTTCGAGGTCATCGACACTTCCAATATTGTGGATTACTATGGGCATCTCAATATTCTACCCGCCACAGTGCCCCTCCTATCTAGAACTTTCAGCTCTGTTCTATATACTGAAAGTTTGCGGATCTCTTCTCTTGACTTAAAGCAAAATTTGAAGGCTGCACTTTTGATGGATGTCAATCTGGCTTCGTTGTTGTTTGGGCTGACACCGTCTGGTCAAATCATGGGCTATACTACCTACAACAATTATAGCGAGGACATGACTCAACAGACATCTTCCCACCGCTATCGAACACGGTTACCCTGGCGGTTTCCATCATTTGGAGACCATCACTATTGTTCCACATCGAGTCAGCCTATCAAAATCGAAGTCGATGCAGATGAACTCTCTCAATTATGCTTCAATACATACATGAAGATGTTCTCGATTGAAAACCTTAAAAACCGCATCGCACCAGGAGTCCGACCTTTACGCAGTCAAACGATGAATTGTTATACACGATTGAGTTTCGTCAATATCTTGCATCTCATTAAGCAAAATACCACAACTGATTGGGTATCCTTCTGCACGAGTCTACAGAAGAAAATCGCAGCTGATACAGTCTCTCACATTGGGGCTAAAACTGTCTTGGAAATCTTTACGCACATTGATATCTCTAATTTTGTGCCGGGAACCAGAGGCTATGATACTGCATATTATTCTTTTGTCACAATGGTGGTGCCTCGGAGGGACCTTGAAATATTTCTCCAGCCTGACTCTACACCTCATCCTGGGCTTCACGCTTACGTATTCAGACCCAATACCAACGAAGAAAATCTTTTCTTTTCCCTAGACGGTTTCTTTGGAACTCTCAAACCACAAACAGATCCTGAATTGTGTGGAGAGTTCATCGAAGATCCACAAGGCTGGGCTGGTGATTCCGATTTGATCATTTCATTTCCCGTACCTGCTCACATAGTGAAAGGGAAAAAATGGCATATTGGGCTATGTGTTACCATTGATATGAACGGATCAGGGTACATGATGGATTTAGGACCAGAGATGGTAGTCTCTTCGGTGTCCGGGAAGAACAAAAAACGAGTAACTGTTTCCAAGGTGCCCCCTGGAATTCCTAAGTCCCGTTTACAACCCGCTCCAGAGATCGCCTCTGAGCAACCATCAATTGAACAATCCAATAACTCCGAGAGCAGGATCACTATAGCAGCTACCAAGCTTAATGAGTCCGTTGCACTGCAGGCAACATACCGTTTCGTAGACGGAACTGAGGAAACCAAAGCACTGCAAAAAGCTGCTCTTGTTACACTTTCCGATATTACTCCATGCTCTATACTCCTGAATATCGGAGAATTCAGCCACCGACTCATCTTCCCATACCCGATAGATGGAACCAAAGCGACAACCAAGATTGCTAGAAAGAGTCTTTGGATTCAAGTCAACGTCCCTCTCGCACCAAGTCTGAAATCTGGTGGTTATGACCAGAATCCCTTTCCGGTGATCACCTCTCCATCCAATCAGCCGGCAATTTGGGCTCTCCCTCGAATCAATCTCTCTACTCTTCCATGGGTAAAGAGTAGCAATCCAGATTGGCTGGAGGATGTAGACGATCAAGTTTATAGCGGTCGTGAAAAACGCATGCTTCGTAACAAAGATACATCAACCAGTGATTTTCCAAGCGCTCTTCTCCAGTTGAAACATACGCTGGCTGAAATAATGGTACACATGGATGAAACCAAGCTATGTGGCGTCTTCGTCAAAGGGGCCACTATGAGCGAAAATGTTGGCGATTTGCTGTTAGTCTCAAATGGGCTTCGCCATAGCCGCGAAACAAGCTCACTGGTGTTCGACGGCTGGGTCATTTCTGATGTTCTCGGTCAGAGACCTTTTCCCCCAGCACTATTGCATTTGATGAGCTATCCAGTTACTCACAACGAGCACATTTTGTGGAAGAAAATGATACCTGCAGCAGTAGAGTCATGCCGACGGGGTTGGGAACATGATTCGTCCTGCGCGTATCGAGATACTCAAGCCCCCCTTTCTATCGAGCCTTATGTATCCCCGATCTGTAAGTGTGGTGAAGGGAAAGATGTTGGGGATTTCCCAGAAGACTTGACGGTTGAACCGTTCAAAACTAGAGCTACAAGGATCGCATTGCCGTTATTTTCGGCAGTCTCTTATGTTGAAGCCATGGATCCACCGGAGCTCTCACATTCTTAGACCACAACTTACCTCTTTGTTTTCTTCTTTAGTTCTTCAATCTCCTTAAGCTAGAAATAGAGCCCGTTCTTTTTAGTCTAGAGTATTACCTGATAACAATCAATGATGTTTTGATCTTTGTTGTGCAAGACGATTCCATTCTCGAAACTTTGCAAGACCTTGAGAACAAACTCAACAAGGGGATCCAAATTAGAATACCAATACATTGATGTCAAGGTTCCGTGTTAAAGATATAACAAGCTGACTTCAACTCAAGACTGAACATGCATACTTGGATACCTAGTTAGGTATATAATGGCTACACAGTACCAATGAAAACTCGCAAAAGGGTGGTGTGTACCGAATCTCCGTCGATAAAAAAATGGATAATATACAAGTAATCGAGCTCGGCGAGCATACGAATCTCACCACATAGATTTCTTCAGCCGTCCCGTTTGTCTTCTTCCGTCTTTGCGCCTATTTCCGAAATCCTGAGTCTGTGTCTAGACCCATTATCCAATGAGTAACTTTGAGCCGTTCAGAATCGTTTATCTGAAACAGCTTGTTTTTGTCATGTGTCTAAGTCGACAATGGGGTACTGGGGTATGAAATGTGTGGATTTTTGTGATGCGCTCTTAAGATAATGGGACTCCACATTCAAGGTCCATGAAACGAAGATGTGAACATCTTCGGAGATATATTTTCTCGAAAAGAAGAAAAATTATCTCAAAAAACACGGTAACATTTTTCATTTCAAATTGTAGATTCGAGTGTGAACTACAACGGGAACAAAATATTCTCGGTCGGAACAAACGACATAGACGGAACAAACAATGCAGTGAGAATTTATGAATAGTATCTTCATTTCCCACGTGTATCGAATGAGAGATGAAGGGGCTGAAAGTAATGTCCTTTGCTGGTGAAAGCTGATATTGATTCGTCAAGTGGCGTCAGCACGTTGACAGGTTGATGAATTTCGGACCTCCGCATGTCGGAGAATAAGTGATCATTACGAAACTCTTGTGTGCAGATTATCAAACAGATAGAATGAAAGGGATAGTTGATGTTAGAAAATGTTGACGGCGCAAATGGTTCGCGTTGAAGATACTCGATCGAAGTTTCTTTTGTTGAGATTCTGCATACCGGGGATGTGATGAAACCTGGTGGGTGGAAAAATCCTTCCGGCTATTTCGTTACACCACAGGTGGAAAAATGGCGGAAATGGCATAATCAGCTGTACAGATGATATGCATCAAGAGGCTTGATATACTCTGATGCTATACGATACTTATCATGCGATAAGATGTAAACAGGCTTCGGCTTGTCGCGTTTACCTATTTATGGAATATTTCATTTGTGAGTGCGGGATGAGGATATTTGATCCTGCATACTTGGCTTTTTATATTTGTGCTTCGAATTGGATGTATGTAATGTATGTAAAGATGAGGATCGCCGCATGGTTCAAGCTCTCTTGCTGAAGCTCGAGATACACAACTTCTTTGAATTCTTTTACGTGGGTGTTGCCTCGCAGTATGATTGCAGAATACACGTTGTAGGCTGACTCTATTCGGCTGTGAATCGAACCGGACTTCGATGAAAGACTGAGCTGAGTTGGGAGAGAAGGATAAATTGAAAGTCAAGATGCCTTTTCAACTTCCTCCGCGTTCTAGGCTCGATCCTAAGAGACCCTTTTACCTCACCAGAACTAAAAGAATGCCACCATTTTCGACATTTTATATTTCGGAGGAGTCATTGGCGCTGGGAAATGAAACAGATGATACTATCGATAGGAGAAAAGTTAGAGAAGATGAGCCAGCCATTCCTACAGAGTGGTCTCTCAGTGTACTACCTAGTGGCCGACGATATCCGGGGAGTACCATTAGGTCCTCGATTAGGGGCCGGCGGGATCCCCAGTCTGATGAAGAATCTTTAACAGGAGCCAGCCGAAATCAATATAGGAATATAATCAGGTACCCATTACCCGGTCCTTTGTCACCGCACCTTGCAGAGAACAGGAAACTATGGATCAAGATGTTTGTGGTCTTTTGTGTGCTTTTGATCACTACGATAATGGGCACAATGTCTATATACTGGGGCGGTGACCATTCATTACAATACAATATACCCGTCTTAACTATCGCAGTTATCGATTTTGATCACTCGGAAATCGGCAATTATCTCCAAGACATGGCAACAGCGGCACGAGCCAAAGATCACGGTCACTCGCTGGGGTTCGTGAATCAAGATGGAACTTCCATGTATGGAAATGTGGATAATGTTCGCGCGTCCTTACACGATCAGAAATTCTGGGTGGGCATCGTCATAATGGAGAACGCTACGAATGCTATGAATCATGCGTATGAGATTGGGGATGAGATGTACGATCCGAATGGTGCAATTCATGTTTTCTACGAGGAAGCTAGGAATGCGCTAGTGATTGGAGGAGCAGTGTATCCGAAGTTACTCGAATTCTTAAACGAGTTCGTACTGGAATTCTCGAAACAGAAACAAAACGCTTTTCTACAGGGAACAGATGGGTCGGATATGGTCGCTTTGCAGAGACAAGTTCAAAATTCTGTTGCAGCAGGATTCACGGTGTTCAATATGGCACCGGCAGTACCATCGGTTCGTCGATATTCTACTTCAGGCCTTTTCTTGACATTTATTTCAATACTGATATGCTTGACTATAGACAGCCGAAGCCGCGACCGAGATTGGAACGATCTGTACGTATCTGCCACAACTTTGTTAATCCTATTATCCAGTAGAAAGAGAAATGTTACTAACCTGCTTGAAATTAGATCTTATCATTGTTTCTTTTCTCTCCGTTCTCATGTTCGACAAACTCAGCGATACAATCATGGGAACCATACCCATGAACATCTACTACATCTATCGCTTAGCCGTCCTGCCTACCGTCTTCCTCTTCCTCTCCCTCTTCTATCTAACGCTCTCATGCATGTGGCACATACCATTCTCTCTCCACTTTGGACCAGCCGGCTACCCCCTCTACTGGATGCTCTCGTGGATCTCCATGATGGCCTTCGGTCTCACGATCGAAAACATCAACAACCTCCTCGGCATGCCTTTCACACCCGTTTTCTTCGTCTTCTGGGTCATCTCAAACGTGACCACCGGATTCTATCCCACGGAGATGCTTAACGATTTTTACAAGTGGGGAATCGTGTGGCCCTTGAGACATGATATGATGGGTGCGCGAGCGATTATTTATGGGACGAAAAATACATTGAGACAGAATTTTGGAGTGCTGATTGGATGGGTGCTGATTAGTTTATTGTTGATGCCTGGGACATTGTGGGTGCAGATGCGGAAGAAAAGAGCGATAAGAGAGGAAAAAAGTAGAGTGATCCTGGAGAAAGTTTGGGGGCCCCGGGAAAGGAGAAGGGGGGGAGGTTGAAATTGCCGAAGCTAAGTCTGCCGAGTTGAAGGGAATGTGTCATGTTGTGATAAGATGAGATCAGATGAGATCAGATGAGATGAGCTATTTAGCATTTAGAGGACTGTTCTTTTTTACATGCTTGCATATGTGCATGTTGATTCACAGACGAGAGAAATGATCGATGTGATATTGCCACTGAGAAAACGGGGCATGACAATTGTTAAAAAATATTATGATTATATTTTCGTTGATACCTTGACTCTTGATATGAAGCAGAGATCAAGGCTAGAAAGTAATTAACAATTGTATCGTGATGCTCCATCTTGAATCGAAAAGTCTCTGGCGAATCTCAGGGAAATTCGTCTGTTCGAAAGTCTTGCTTTCTTCATGTCTTCCTCTTTTGTCCTTGCCTCTTCTCCTTTTAGAAATTTGGACTAGTAGCTGCTATACATAGCATAGCCACCTCAAATCAGCCGCGACTCCTGTATCATAGCCAATCTGAGCATCGCACATCTGAATTTCGTTTTCAATCCCAAAGAAATCAGTTGCATACATCTCTGCTAAATCACCCTGCGCCCCTATCCCTCCTGGAATTGTCTGATCAGTCGTAGATACTGGCTGCGAGGGTGACTGGAATTCAGTACTAGATTCTCCTTCGCGAGACTCTCGGTTGAATGGCCCGATAGTCATTAGCTTCTCAACGTATACATTATTACTGTCCTTTTGGGCTTTGAGCAGTTGTTGCCGATATAGATTGATCGCGGTGTTGAACCGAAGAAGGATATCATAGTATTGCTCTGCTTGGGGACTCAATCGGGCAAGCTTCTTAAGCACAGTACAAGCGTGATCGAAGGATCTATGAATATGCGTTGGGGCTTCGCCTTCTACGAGGAGGGAGAAGCCGAGTACAAGTCCAGCGGAAAACAGCCAAGCTTTAAGGATACACATATTGTCAAGCAGAACATTACCGAGAAATGCTTCATACGATAGCTCTACCATCAAATGGGCAGATTGTACACAGGCATCCGAGAATTGAACAATTTTCTCCCTTTCACTAGGACTTATTGGCGGGACCTCGTTGATTCTCTTAGACTTGCTAGAGCTATTCCTCCGTAGTTGAAACATGACATGTGAGATGAGGAATTGTCGCGTTACCATCATGATGCCTACGTAATAAGTGCATGAAACATGGATATTGCCAATCGTAGTCTCACAATAGTCACCTTCAAACGCGGAGTCAGGAACACTGCGAAGCGCTGAAGGTAGGGCCTGACTCCATTCTCGCAGCATCTGAAGATAAGTATCGGCGGACTGCACGTCGACGCGACTAGATTTGGCAAACTTGTGTACGATGGTTTCGATGATAGATGAAGATTCGTAGGTTGCATAAAGAGCTAATGTTCGATGGTCCATATCTTCAGGGTTTGAGCTATCTATCTCGTATTCGTCTCTTTCTATTGACGGTATACTACTAGGACGTGCAAGAATGGAGCTGCAGAGCAAATCAAGAACACGTGAGCTCATCCATATGCGGCGCCTGCCGATAGAGTTAGCGAATGCGAGATATCCCACAAAGTTGTAGATGTAAGCCTACCTAGCAGCACGCTCTTCGGGGGATACTCGAGGATGTTGATATGGAACGTGCAACCCAAGAATAGTTGCAGATTTGGAGGCAATGCCGATATACATAAAAGCTGTGTTCCTGCGGCATGCCCCGAGCATATACATTGCCATCAATAAAAACAACTTGACCATAGACAACGAAGGATTTTCCAGCATGTCAAGAAAGGCCATTTGCTGGGCTTGAGCAAAATACTTCTTCGCAAGTTGAATCTCGGACATATCCTTGCCTCGAGATTGAGCCCCTATTGCTATTATCAGAAAAAGACAAGCGAGATCTTCTCGTTGTGAGCGGGAGCTCGGAGAAGAGTTGGCAGCATCGGTTTTGATGGCCAACAATTTAGATATATCATCTCGTGAGAAGAGATGAAGAATACCATTCGACTAAGCAAAGTGTAAAGTTAGTGTCTTGAAGCTACGGGAAAGAACCAAGCTTAAAGCCCTACCACTCTCATAAAGCAAGCAATCAGATTTTGCTTTTCTTCGAGATCTAAATCATCTTCAAAGGGGCTATTGTTTCTAGAAATCTCGACTTCTAACATCACGTTGCTCTCCCGGCGTTCAGTAAAAACGGAAGTGCCAATATATCGCTTAAGCGTAGTTTGGAGAAAGTGCAGGAAGGAGATAGCAGCAATGTTACCAACATAAACTATCAGATGTGTCAGCTCTGGCTAATCCTTGGATTAACAAAAGTCTGGAAAGAAGAAATCTCCGCCAACCTTGTTCGCCTTGGGAGCTCTGTAACATTGTAGAACGTTGACATGGTGAAGATTCACGAGTACTAGCCCGCGTGGTGTTCCGACTGGTGGTGTTCTCGCCTGAAAGAAGTGGATCCACCGATGGCTCAAGACGCTGGGTGGAAGCGGCATCAATAGTTTGCCGTGAAGACTGGACGTTTCTCTCCTCGGGTGAGGGTTGCCCAGACCGAATTTGAGTGAAAGTCGGGGGATTCACATTTCTGGTAACGTGATCTAGTGAATGCCCCGACACTCTTTGGCGTCGTGGACTGGGAGAGGATAGGGGGGAAGACGGCGGATATCGGCATGAATCGGTACGGCCTTTTGTTACACATGATAAACAAGGAAGGTTTGCATCGCACCGCTTCTTTGAACTTTTACATGGGACGCAAGCTCTCGCCGCGCGGGCTCGTTTATCGGGATGTACTCTTGGGCGAGGCATTGCCGGCGGAACATTACCGCGTAATTTGTTCGGGGATCATGAGCGACTTCTCCACAACTGAGTCTCCGTCGCCTCGATCGAATTTGCTGCGAAAGTACGATATGGATGGATTGATACCAATTATCAAGCCAATGATTATGTGTCGGAGTGAATGTTGTTGATGTGAAATCGGAAAGAATCTCTCTGTTTCGGAAGAGGGACTGTGGAGAAGGCCCTCAAAGTGGGGTATGGGTGTCGTTATAGTATGAAATATAGATATTTAGCTGTGGGTCGCTTATCTTCCCCCAATTATAAGCAGGTAATTTGATCAGAAGGTGGGGTTAGAGGATGTTATCAACAAAATATAGAACTAGCCGGGTACATTCCGCTGCGTGTCGGATCAACCGCTCTTTTCCTCTCGTGTCGGCAACATCAAACACGACTATAGCGAGACAAAGATATTCATTGATAGGAGATCCTCGATAACTGGAACCAATGTTCGGTCAATTATTGGGGCTATTGAGCCCAATAGTCTATGATGATATCTGTGTCTTATCTTAGAACACCGATGGCACCGGGCCGCATGAAGGTTTGACGATCCATTGTATCGATTATTCACACTACTTGATATGCACCGTCTTGGCTATTGATCATATATATATCCGTTCACAACTCTCAACATACTTCTATCATTTGACTAAGTCACAGCTCAACTTACAGATCCTTGATCTAAAGTATTCATTGAACATATCGATCTAGTGAGCGGCTATTATCCACGAACATTTATATATTCTTGGTTAAGACTTTTTACCAAGAAACAACCCTTCCGTTTTCTCTCCTGCTCTAGAAAGCGAGTCTAGAAGCTTTAGTCTCCTTACAACAAAAATGCCTGCTCAATCCGGATTCAGGTCGTTAGATATTGGTGTCGTGGGGGGTGGAATTGGAGGTTTGAGTACTGCTATTGCTTTGCGTCGTGCTGGACATCGAGTCACGATATACGAACGGGCAGATTACGCTGGAGAAGTTGGTGCTTCGGTATCTTGCGCTGCTAATGGCACAAAATGGTTACATGAATGGGATGTCCCGGTTGAGAAGGGAGATCCTGTCATCTTGAAGAAGCTAATCCGACGCGATTGGAAAACTGGAGAGCCTGACTCTGTGTATGATCTCGACGATTATGAAGAGAAGTGGGGACATGTAAGTTCCTAACACCGATCAACATTTCAGATAGCAGGAATTGATGTGGTCGCAATAGGTTTACAACATGTTCCACAGGCAATATATGCACGCTATGCTTATGGATAGTGCTGTAGCTGAACCAGAAAAGCCGGGAGTACCAGCTAAGTTACTCGTCAATCACAAGGTAAGCATACTTGAACAGACTGAGACCAGATTTGAGCCTTTTTAATTGACCGTACTTTGGTAGTGCTCTGGACTTGACGTCGAAACTGCAACTATCACATTTGAAAATGGAAATACTGCAGTACATGACGTTGTCATTGGAGCTGACGGTATTGGATCCGCGATTCGTTCCCTCATTGGCATCAAAGTTGAGAGGAGAGCGGCCGATGCCAGTTGTCTCCATGCCAATGTAGACACCGAAGAAGCAGTCAAGCTTGGTTTGGTTGATTACTCGCAGAATAGTGCACTCGAATACTGGGGAGGTCTGAATACTCATTACAAGATTGTTCTTTCGCCTTGTAATGGCGGTAAACTACTATCTTATTACTGTTTCTTTCCAAGAGAAAAGGGCGATTATTCCAACCAGGCATGGGGCGCAAAAGGAACAGTAGAAGAACTTCTTGCTCCTTTCCCAGATCTGGACCCCCAGGTTTACAAACACTTGTCAATCGGAAAGGATGTTGCTCCCTGGAGATTGTGGATTCACGAACCCTATCCTTACTGGCAAAAAGGCAATGCTTGTGTCATAGGCGATGCAGCTCACCCTGTAAGTTGTGACCCAGCTGGTATTAAGCACTTTTGGAACTAATTAGTATTGCAGATGATGCCAGATCAAAGTCAAGGAGCATGTATGGCCATCGAAGATGCAGCAGCTCTTGGTATTGTTTTCAGCGAGAAACATTTCAACGGCGATGTACAAGAGGCCTTGAGAGTTTATGAGCAAGTCAGAAAACCCCGTGCAACCCGGGTACAAGCCGCTGCTGCAAAGGCACGAGAGAATATTAATGAACGTATTGGTGAGATTACCCAACTTTCGATACATTTCTATCTCCGCAACAACAGCTAATCTGACTACAAATCTTAGGTTTCTCAAGTAACACCAACTCAGCAGTATACAAAGTTTCTGACGAGAAGGCAAAATTGACGATTGAAGAAATGAATGCGTAAGTCAACCATTCCCTTTTGATGAGATGAATCTTCATTAACAATCGGGCAGATATGACATGCATGATGATGTCCTGAAGAATTATGCGCAAGTCAGAGGAGAGGTTTCTTGAATTAAGGCATTTTAATTATTGGAATCTTTTGACAGGGGAACAATCAATAGAAGGCTCTTAGTGTGTTCTTCATTTTGTACATAGGCACAGTTTGGCATTGGAGTTTTGGTGTTCGGGCTAGCGAATCTGTATAATCGACCTTATAATTTTATTCGATCATCTCCACATAAGAAATGTTTCAAATTAACTAGATAGCTGTGAAACATAGAGTTATTCGCTGTATAATGTTGCTATACTGTGCAATCAAATCTTCGCGAGCCCGATTCTAATGTAAGAGAATGTATCTTCGCAAGAGTGACATGAAATCCTAAAGTCACTATCGAAACAATTGACACTAACAGGTCGATAATGTTGAAAGAAGGTCTTATTGATACCCAAAATATGCATCAATTTGGAGGAAAATGAGTGTCTTGGTATTGGGTATCATCAAACTCGGAATCATTAGACATTATTCCTTGGAACGCCTCGATAAAACTCGCGTCTTCCATAAGAGAGTGCAATATAGTCTATGATAGGTATGTTAGCATTGATTTAATAGAGGAAGTTCGAGGAGAAAAGAGCAAAAATCCCAATCAATATCCAACTCATTCGAGTTCTTAAACATCCCTTCTTCGAGCAAAAAGCCGTCATTCAGATGCTGAGTTGACCCAGATGATATCGATTCTATTCCTACAACTAAATTGTTTAGTAAGTCAAAGAGATTCACGTCTGACTCTAGCCTACACGTCTTCGAAAATGCTCGGTTGCTTTCATTTCCATAGAATAATTACAAAAATTTGTATACAAAAATTTCGGTCGAGATTACGACTATCTGAGGCCGAAACCAACCTATTCATACTCATCTTCTTTCCCAACTTCACCAAAAGCACCCTCAATTCTTTATTTCTTCATTTTGACCTTTGAATCCATCAAGTTTGAACAAATTTTTGGCATTATCCCTTCCAATATCCATCTTAACCTTCGGACTCAAGTCCAACCCGTCAAACCAAGTGCACGCATCCTCATAACACTCAAATGGATAATCTGTTGAGAACATAATGTGATCCGACCCTAACTCTTCAATACAATATTTCAGTGTCGACGTCGAAAAATGTCCACTGGTAGTAATCCAGATATTCTCGCGGAAATAATCATAAATGCTCTTCTTAATAGGCATTCCCAATGGTTTCTTGATATCCTCAAACCAATGATTTATACGCCACAGATCAAAAGGAATATGTTCTCCCAAGTGTCCAACGATGACCTTCAACTTAGGATTTCGATCAAAGACCCCATTGACTACCATCCCCATCAAATGTAACGAAACATTGTTCGCAAAACTCAATGGAGGCCCAATTAACCACTTACGATCCGCCCATAACGTATCAAACACCTTTCCCGTGGGCTGTTTAGGGTGCAAATAAAAGGGAACATCCAGATCCACACACTCTTGCCAGAAAACATCCCATTCCGGTTGATCATAGAAAATAATTGATTCTCCATCACTAGCGATCTGGTTATCGTTGACCAGCGCTCCTTTGAAACCATACTCGGTTACACATCTCCTCAACTCTTTCGCTGCTACAGCGGGGTCATGCATGGGTAATGCGGCAAAAGATCCATAACGATCCGGATAATCCTTAATCTGCTCATGGATGTAATCATTGGTAAGAGCAGCAACGCGGAGAGCTTCAGCGGGATCGACAATATCTTGGATTCCGGGTGCAGTATAACTGAGTATATGGAAGCCGACACCATGTTTGTCGGCGTATTCGAGACGTATATTTTTCACATCACTGATTTCTCGGACGTGTTTATCTGCGTCTACAGCGAAGAGACCTGCCCACCATTTGGCCTTTTCGGCGAACTCTGGGAGGTTGAAATGGTCTTCGATGGTGATTTTCCCCAACATGTTGAGAGTGACTTTGCAATTATGGTTGCACTTTAAGCGCAATGCAGTAGGTTTAGGAAGAATTGTAAAAAGAAGTAATTAGATGTTTTGAGAATTAAAGAATATTTGTGTTCAGATTGATGTAACATATAAGAATCTATCAATTCCAATAATCTGGGGTAGATCCATAGTCCGCCAGCGGAAAGGAGCACTTGACTCCGGCCCGCCTCCTTTTCCCCGCAACGTGGGGAAGAACAGAGTCGATATGCCTACCCGCTCTTGAATAATCATACCACTACGGCTGTCGGCACATTTTTGAAACGCATCCAAGGGCTAGTAAGGTTTTGTATTTCGTATGATGCGAACAAGACACAGTCATAGCTTACTTAGTAGGTATCTAGGTAATGTGGTTGATGTGTATAAGCGGCCCGCAGTGTAGCGGATAGGGTACGGGAATAACAAGTGAAGCGGATATGAACGCGCAACTAAGAATGAATCATGAATGAAGCCATTCCACTTTTCTAATGATTCATCACAGGTTACGCATGACCCATATCGTCGGCAATATTGACAAAATCTCTCATTGTTGCATATCTGAATTGACTCGTTTTTTTCTTGCTCGGGAGCTTCAAGAGCCTAGATCTCCCCCTTGCAATTTGTTGCACATCTAAACAATGAATCGTAAGACGGAAGTGGGGATTTAATATATTTTAATCATTTGAAAGTAATATGTTGCAAGTCTTAAAATTTTGAGTTTGACTCGCGAAATACAAAAGATTTGAGGCTTGCAGGTGGTATTTGAGGTGAGCTGAAGGATCGTAAGAGGAATTGTTTGTCATATAGTAACCGTGCACAGCTGTTTGCCGAAATACGAAAAACACATCAATTCAGTTTATTCTTTTCTACTACCACTAATTGATTTATTTAATTATATTACCACAATGTATTCCCTTAAATCAAATCGATTATAATAATATATTTTATATTCATCTTAATCTATATATATACAGAAAAATAACAGAAAAGATAAAAGCAAATATACAGCCCACTATTATTATAAGAAAGCTTGGAATCCCCTTAATTATTGTTTCTTATATTATCAAAATGGATATAATATATAATAAGGGAATTACTTTATTTAAAACTACTAAAGATAGATTATATATAAATGGAAATAAACGAATATTATTATGATATATAAGATTATGATTTAAATCGATTTATTAGGAGATATTAATAGTTTATAGGTTTGAATATAAGAGGGATATTGTTAAAAGGATTTTCAAGAAGTATAATATAATTAATTGGAAAGCTAAAAAAAGGTTTGAATTTATAAAAGAATATGCTGTTAAAAGGCTAGCTTGGTGTTTAGCCCATTGGGAGTGAATAGTAAAAGAATAGGATCTAATATTCTAGTCAAATAAGTGTTTTGTAGAATAAGGAAAAGGAAAAAAGCAGGAATGGGTTTTCTATACTCCAAAATAGAAATAAGAACAGAAAATAATTCAAATCTATAATATATATAAAAATATAAAGATTATAATATAAAAAGACTTTTGTGATATTAGGAAAAGCAAGTTATATATTATAGATAGGGATTTTGAGAATAAGAAGTTTGAGTATAATATCAATTCTTATCTTAAAGTTCTTAATAAAGAAATAGTTTCTATTTAGGAGGGATTAAATAAAGAGTATTAATTTATATAGAATAATACTTCTATATATTAAGTAACTAAAGTATTAGATTAATTTAAAACTAGGGGTATTCCTTTAATCGATTTCTAGTCTTCTTATAGTTCTGATTTCAATTCTATTAAGCATATTTAATGATATCTAAAAATATATGTTTTTGAGATATTTCCAGATATTGCAATAAACAAAAGCAAATCAGAATATACTAAATAGAAACTAGAGAGTATATTACAAGTAGCTTGGAATACATTAGATAATCAATTATTTATAAATTTGGGAACTAATATGGGGAGTAGAATAGAGACTTGTATTATAGCAAATGATTAGTATACTAAATATTGAGAGTTTAAATTATAGAATCATTATATAAATTAATAATATTATTAAATATATATATATCAAGAGATTCTGAAAATTTAATAATAAAATATTGAAGAATTGATTTAATAATTAGAATTGAATAAGAGGGTGATGTTGGTGGATTCCCGGGTAAAATCCGGCCGACGAACAGCTGTGCCCTAGTACTGTACTAAATCGTCTCGCGATTTCCTTCCTTCCCTTTGCTATGGACACACAATTTTCTTTAAATCTGTTTAATAGCGTTATTGTGGCTAGCAAACAAGGTATAAAATAATATCAAAGCCATATCAATTTAATTTCCACCTACAACGATATCAGGATGTAGCGTTTTCGTCCCGTAAACAGGCTTTTTAGTGATATCGTGCGGCATGGCCACAACCTCATCGCCAACAATAATTTTGAGAGTAGGCAATAAAGTTGCATTTAATGGCGTATTGTCAAGCTTGAAGTCTATCAGCGCAATGTTCTAATCACCCAACACCAAACAGAAATATCCGAAGAGAAAACTCACCAGCTGTGCTCTCCACCTCAAGTTCTTTTTCAAGAGTTCTTCCGTTCCTTCGCCATCACCATCTTCACCATGCCCTTTGTAACTACCTCCAATAGCAGGCTCCCTCAAAATAACAATCTCATCATAGGCCAATGCTTTCGTCGCATCATTAGAAACCGCACCCGGCGGAGGTAAAATCACTAGACTTCCTACCAAACTTTCACTTCTCCCCCACTCCTCCGGACTCTCTGGTATCTTGCCTAGAAAAAGTCGAACAATAAACCGCTGGCCTTGAAGATCCAATTTAGAGACACTGAGTGCTGCGGTCCATTCTCGTAGTGTTTTGTTCGTGTTTGGTTCTTCGTGTTGTTTTTCTGAGGAAAGTTCTCGATTATCGAAATTCCTCTTCTTGATCTTTGAATTGATTCCATCTGCATTGTATAATGCATTTACTCTTCCTGTTACATAACTTGTCATTTGTGCAGCTGTCATATTCCAATCCATAATTTCTGGATAACTATACCCAAGTTGCGACATCGATCTGCAAGTATTCGATGTGAAAAAGGTGGAACTGGTGATAGCAAAGGGCTTCAGAGGAGAAGAGGCTGTATCAATAGTCCCAGGAGGGATAGTATACGTGCCATACCAGTCGATTAAACCCGTAATGAATGTAGAAGGATTAATGGCTTGATACATGGAGAGAACCCGGTCGACATTTGCGTGGTGGAGCCAGCTATCCAGGTCAGCCGCTGTGTATGATTTGTAATAGATAGGGAATGTTAATAGGAATAAAAAGAGAAGATGGGCTTTTACAATATAGGATCAAACCCAGAATAGCTCAGAAAGGACATATGTCCATAAGCACCTCCCACGAGAACATGGACCGCGCCATGCGGCGATTCTATACTCGCTCCCGAAACTGCCATCGTAGCAAAGCTATTGAAATTGCTTGATTTCATGATTGCTGTCCACTGTCGCCGGCCCCATCAGCATTCTGCTCCTTCTTTCCTATTCTTGATTCTATGCCACCATATATTTCAAGAGACAGCCCAAGGGCCAAGACGAAGATACCAAAATAAAAACTTACCACTTGATCTCCCAACCCTGCATTTTGCAAATTCGTGTTTGCAGCGTTGAAATCACTTTGTCCATTACCTAGGTAATCTGGACTTCTCACCGTCCAATTGTACTGTGCCATATAACCGTCACTGTCCCCAGGAGGAAATTGTTGCTGATTGAGCGGTTTATTCTGGAAGTTATAACGGAAGAGTGGATTGTTCACATAGGCAGTAGCCCCAGAGGGGAGTACGATAGAGACAGTGGCGACATTAGTGATACTAGGCATGCTAGGGCTAGCACCCCAGTCCCAAAAAGGGATTCGGAGGTTATCAGCGGCAGCTTGATAGGCGGGATAAAGTGTAGATATGTAGGTTTTTGCTATGGTTTGGGCGTAGCTGGCGAGAACTTGCTACAGTCAGAGAGGGAACGTGAGTAATTTGCTTTCAGCGTGAGAGTGCAGGGAAATTAACCTCAAAAAGTGCAAGGTAAGGACGATGCCATGTTGTGAATAATACCGAATCTACACCATACATTAACATTTATTCTCAGATTAGAGCTAGATTGTCTGACCATGTGTACAATACCCGGTGGTTGGAGCTGCGATAGCTTGACTTACACCATCCCAAGCAATGTATGGTCGACCGTGAATACCTACAGAAAATCTCAAAGTCAACACTGAAGGTGATTTTACATGCTTAGTATTTCGAGCCAATCAAGCTCATATGAACATTATTCGAGATTACCCACCTGCCAGTTGAAAGTAGGACAGCCCGTCAGTATATTCGTTTGCAGCTTGCATGGCAAGAAGAGCTTGAATATATAGCGACCTTGATACGTCGAAATTAGCAATTGAATGGTAAAATGATGTGTATTCAAAACATCTACTGTAAGGGAGCTTACCATTGTTGAATGTTATTCTGCAAATCGTCAATATTTTGTCTGAATGGTCGAGCCTTTGTATTCGAGTTGATACCAGTTGTCACCCCAGTTATGGGATAATACTGAGCATTGCCATAAGTGATAAAGATAGAACATGCAAGCAATCCCATAGGGAAATACGGGTATTTGATTATCATAATCACTCTTTTGAGGCTCTGCGGTGAAAGTTTTGGAGTAAAAATAGTATGACATAAACTCAAGTAAGGGTATGCGTGCCTACAAAACCATCCATATATGAAGTTCCAAGCAGAGCAAACAGCAGAATACAAAAGAAATCAAGACTTCAGCCTCGGTCGTAAGGATGAAAGTCGACCATACAGACGTCGCAAAATCATGCATGCATATCCATAAATGCAGTGGATATTGAAACATGCCATACCCACGAGTTAGATCTCTCTCCGAGTAACACAGAATCATTGAATACAACAATAGATACGACATTGCATAGCTAGTTCAAGAAAGAAAGTCTCTAATGGTACAA